TTCTCTCCCACATCACCTCCCTCCTCAATTCATTTTTCCTCTGTTTCTGTTCAGAAAGGGGTAACATATTTGAACAAGTCTCTTTGTAGTATGATGGAGCATTCTTTTGATATATGCCCCAAAATGGTACGGCTGGGACTTTAATTAAATTGATTTCCAGTTTTCTGAGAAAATGTCATATTGATTTGTAAAGTAGTTATACAAGTTTGCACTCCAGCCAGCAATGGAAGAATGTTCACCTTGCTTCACATCCATTGGAGCATGAGCAATCACTTGTGTTTTTTTATCTTAGACACACTGACAGTATAAGAAGAAAGCTCAGAGTCATTTATATTTGCTTTTCCTTGCTTGGCTGAGGATGTTGAACATTTAATTAAGTGTATCTCTTCCATTTGAGATTCTTCTGTTGAGAATCATCTATTTAGATCTTTATCCTACTTTTAAACTGCCTTATTTGGTTTTTCAACGTCTAGTTTCTTAAATTGTTTATATGGTTTAGATATTAATCCTCTGTCAGATGTATGGTTGGTGAAGATCTTTTTCCATTCTGTAGGCTGCGATTTTGTGCTATTGATAGTGTCCTGGGCCTTACAAAAGCTTTTCACTTTCAGGAGGTGCCATTTGTTAATTGTTGATCTTAGCGTCTGTGCTATTGGTGCTCTATTCACTAAATTGTCTCCTGTACCAATGTGTTCAAGACAGTTCCCCACTTTCTCCTCTTTCAGGTTTAGTGTATCTGGATTTGTGTGGATCTGTGGTCTCTTGGGGACTGAAACACATTAGTCAAGGCACATTTTTAAAATTTTAGGATCTCTGTTGACAAGTCAGGTGTGATTTTAAAAGGTCTGCTTTTCTACGCTACTTAACTTTTTTGCCACTTTAATATTCTTTCTTTGTTCTGTATGTTTAGTGCAGGGATTCTTATCCAATCTATTTCTTGTTCTGTAAGTTTCTTGTACCTTTATAGACAAGGCCATTTTAGGTTGGAAATTATTTTTCTATGATTTTTTAAAATATATAATCTGTTTTTTTGTTTAGCTGGGATTCTTCTCCTTTCCCTATTCCTATTATTCTTAGGTTTGGTCTTTTCATACCCAGATTTCCTGAATATTTCATTTCAAGATTTTTTAGTTTTATTATTTTCTTTGACTGATGAATCTATTTCTTCTATCATATCTTCAATATTTGAGATTTTCATCTCCTGTCTTCTGTTGGTGATGTTTGCATCTGTTCCTGCTTACTTACCCATATTTTTCATTTCCATAATTTTCTCAGTTTGTGTTTTCTTTATTGCTTTTATTTCCATTTTAAGTTCATTTCTTCTTTTTTATTTTTATTTTTATTACTTTATAAATAATACCAATTAAAATTTCCACTTCCTCCCATCCTCCTATTTCCTTCCTGCCCCCTACAGCCTCTCCCTTCCCCCTCCAGTCCTGAGAGAGGAAAAGGTACCCTGCTCTGTGGGAAGTCCAAGGCCCTCCCCTCTCCATCCAAGCTTAGGTAGGTATGCATCCAAATAAAACAGGATCCCAAAAAACAGTACATGCAGTAGATACAAATCCCAGTGCCATTATCATTGGCTTCTCAGTCTGCCCCAATTGTCAGCCACATTCAGAGGGTCCAGTTTGTTCCCACGCTTGTTCAGTCCCAGTCCAGCTGGATTTGGTGAGCTCCCATTAGCTCAGGCACACTGTCTCAGTGGGTGAACCAAACCCTCATGGTTCTGACTTCCTTGCTTATCTTCTCGCTCCTTCTGCTCTTCAACTGGACCTTGGGAGTTCAGTCCAGACTGAGCTCCCAAAGTTCATTTCTTCTTTAAGGACCTCTATTATCTTCATACGGTTGTTTTTAAGGTCTCTTCATGTGCTTCAGGTGCATTGTTCAGTTTTTGTTGTTGTCTTGTTGTTGTAGAATAGCTGTCTTCTTGGGGTGCCCTATTAATCTTTTCGTTATTGATTATGATCTTAAAATGGCATTTAGGCATCTGTGTTTGGGATGATTATAGGTCTAGGTGTTGATTCCTGTGTTTGCCTCTGTTGGAAGTGTGTCTTGTTATTTGTTTTGTTTCCTCTCTGGTCTTCTGGCCTAAGTGGACAAGGGTTCTGCCTAGCACATCTTCAGGTCCAGTAGGATGTCTCTGCTGGGGTTTGAGATGGTGTTTCCCAACCTCTGCCAGAGTTGCCTCTATAGTTCCAGTACTTGTGTGACCTCTAGTGTTCTAGGTACCTTCTTGCCCTCTGGGATTTTTAGCACAGTGTGGCCTCTAATGCAGCAGGATTTTTCTGTTGAGGCTAGAGTGTCTAGATCTAGCCAGGCCTCTAGTATAGACAAAATCTTCTCCCAAAATTCTAGACCAGAATATGGACCCCAGGATAGGGGGAACAAACCGTGGCTATCGGCATGGGTTTAATGAGCATTGCAGACAGTGGACAGTGACTTACCTGGGATCCCTAATTTGACCTATCCTCCAGTAAATTCAAAGTTTGTTGAAATTGTTGACCCAGATATGGAAACACGGAAGAAGGTGCAATCTGCTCTATTCACTATTTCTAAATAATAATAATATTTTGTATTATTGACTATAAAAGTTTTGTGTGCCTCAAATCCTCATTCAACTTGGCATCTCCTCCATCCCTATGTCTACTAAACTGCCTAATAGAGTATGTAACATCAACCACTGAAATACTAAAAGAAAAATCAGTACACATAAATGAAAGAAACAAAAATAGTTCATTTAATGATTGATTTAATATTTTAAAGTGTGAAATAACCTAAACCAAATAGCTACTTGAATGACTTACCTAAGATAATAGTTATCATGTACCTCCCATAATTACCATACTCACATAAAAGAGAAAACAAGAAATCACTTGAGATTGACAGACTCCTTGAGAATTGTGTTTATGCAAAATGAACTGCTCAGTAATCACTAGGAATGAGGTAATGATCCCTGATGATTTGAATACATACTTGAATCCAGAGCACTAAGGGGATCCATCCCCAGTGACAAACAATGACAGTGGAGACAACTTCGTAGCTATAAAATCATAACATTGAATTTCTTACTCTGAAATGAATTCTTATACCAAGAGGTAAGATTTTTGACTTTGTTGATAAATGGAGATATTTTATTCTTTGAAATGTACTGATTTTATAAATCATGGCAGAGTGGGAGACAAGTCAGATGGAATCAAGCAATTATGTAATATAAGGGGATAAAAGAACCAAGATTTCATAAAAATCACCTTATAATTCTAGAAGTAAATATTCAGAATGACCAGGCATAAATAAGTTTTCAAACTTATTCCTTGTATATACCCATTGGTAAGACCAGAAACCAACATGATCTTCAAAGGTGTGCACAATTAGCATTCAACCAAAAGGCTAACTTGCTCTCTGGCTTTGAAAAGCTTTGGCGGCTTGCTGTCAGGTAATATTGTGTGTGAAGACCTTTTTTGCTGTGACCTAAATGTTCCAGCATCACAGGCATCACTGTGGACAAGTGAGGACATAAATATAAAATTTGAGGAATGAGAATCAATCAGTCCCATGCTGGGAGAACTTGGATAAACCTCTTAATTTCTGAGTTTGAATATTTATTGATCAGTTTATTCTGTTGAAAATCGAGTGAACTCATTTCATTACACTCCAGTTAAAAAACACTGTGATTTGAAAAGGATTTGTTGCATCTAAAAAATTAATAATAATGTGCTAAGCATTATTCATATTTTATATGATGGTAAAATTAATATTTTAAGTTAATTTAAAGAGCAATGATCTATTTTCATGAATCTAAAATATATAAGGAGCTTATAACAAAAGTTTCATTTGTAAATTTAGTGTGATCTTTATTTAGTTTTGCAGATTTTCTGAACAATATCACCAACAAAGTAACTTTCTATGTATTAACCATAGAAAAGCTGAAATGGTATCCTTCATCTGTCCCTAATTTGGGTATGCTCTGAATAGCATAACCACATTCCATTATGGTGTGGTTACTAAAAGTAATAGATTAAGCTCAACTTCCCTGGTGTTCATATCTTGTTTTTTTTAACTTTGTGTATATGAGGTTTGCCTGTCTGCAGGTATGTGCACCATATGCACGCCTGGTGCCTGTGAGGACCAGAAGAGACATTGTGTGCACAGAACTGCACAAACAAACTGCTGTGAGAAAACATGTGGGTTCTGGGATGAAACCAATGTCATCTATAAGTGCAGTCGGTGCACTTCATTTTGGATCAATCTCTCAAACCCCATAATTCTGTTATTTCACATATATATCACTTAAAAGAGTTTTCTGCTGTAAAATAAAAATTACAAAAGAACTAAATGCTATTTCATAGAAATTGGAAATAGGAATACATACACGTTTTTTTTTTAATCCTGTGCTGCTCTTTCAGTAAATTAAAAAATTTATCAATTAGTTAAGTCTTCATTACATAACTGTATTATTTTTAGATATAAATCCTCTGCTATACTTATAACAAATACATTGTTATTTTAAATAGACAAATGTTATTTAATGTTTATTTTCTATTTATTTCTATGAAGGGAATAGTGCAGGTAACATAGCATAGCTGTGGATGTCAAAGGAGCAGGATTTGTTTCTCACCTCCCACCAGTGAATTCCAGGACTCAAGCTCTGGTCATTATGGTGGAAGAACATCTACCTCTCAATCTATCTCTCCACGCTGTCTCATGATTTCAAATATTTAGCTTTAATTACAATTAGGAATTAAAGTTTTAGTATAAATAAATGTAAATGAAAGTTACCTATTATTTGCATAACATCTCTAGAATTTCTCATTAAATAATTTGAAAAAGTTCCTGCATAGAAATGTATAAGCAAAGAAAACTCTAAGTAAAACATACATTGTTGGTTCAATTTTGAATAATATAATAGTTTTTATTAAATAAAATAAAGTGTCATATTTATAAATACCTTCTTAGAGTATCTCTATCACAACTCTCTGTTCTGACAGCAACTACACTGTTCCATGGCTTTCCTGGAGGACGGGAACCACACTGCAGTGACAGAGTTCATTTTATCGGGCTTAACAGATGACCCAGTCCTTAGAGTCATCCTGTTCATCATCATCCTGTGCATCTACCTGGTGACCGTGTCTGGGAACCTCAGCACCATCCTTCTTATTGGAATCTCTTCCCAGCTCCATCACCCCATGTACTTTTTTCTGAGTCACTTGGCTTCTGTTGACATAGGCATCTCATCTTCTGTCACCCCTAATATGCTTGTTGGCTTCCTGGTAATGAAAAATACTATTTCTTACCTTGGATGTGGCATCCAGCTCAGCTCAGCTGCTTTCTTTGGGTCTGTTGAATGTTTCCTTCTGGCTGCCATGGCTTATGATCGCTTTGTGGCAATCTGCAACCCTCTGCTTTATTCAACCAAAATGTCCACACAAGTCTGTATCCAGTTGGTTGTAGGATCTTATATAGGGGGTTTTCTTAATGCTTCCTTTGGTACCCTTTTCTTTTTATCTTTTCTATTCTGTGAACCAAATAGAATCAATCACTTTTTCTGTGATTTTGCCCCTTTGATGAAACTCTCCTGCTCTGATGTCAGTATCTCTGGAGTTGTTATCTCGTTTTCTGCTGGTTCAGTCACTATAACCACACTGACTGTGATAGTCATGTCATATTTCTATATCCTCATAACCATCCTGAAGATGCGCTCCACTGAGGGCCGCCAGAAAGCCTTCTCTACCTGCACCTCGCACCTCACTGCAGTCACTCTCTACTATGGGACTGTCACATTCATTTATGTGATGCCCAAGTCCAGCTACTCCATGGACCAGAACAAGGTGTTGTCTGTATTCTATATGGTGGTGAACCCCATGTTAAATCCCCTCATCTACAGCCTCAGGAATAGTGAAATGAAAAGTGCTCTGAAAGGAAAAATTCATAAGCAAACATTTATAAAGAACAAGAAGTTGTTTTGTAAAATTTAATATAATAATGAGTATCAGGAAGACAAATGTGACCATTATCTCAGGTTTGACTGTTAGTTTTCTTATTACTCCTTTTACCCTAATCTCCTATTTTCCAACTATATATAGCTATTTTATTTTATTGTATTTCTCTTCTATATATTTTAATGTGTCTTTGACAGTCTGATACAGTGTGTTTTGATCATGGTCACTGCAACCCTTCTCAGTCCTATAACTCCATCTCCTACACACCTAACATATGTGCTTCTTTTTTCCTACTAGACTGTGATACATGTAAGTGTACTGCTAATTTTAATTAGTCTTAACAATAAAAACCCAAAGTCAGATATTAGGAGGTGAAAGGTGAAAGATCAGAGAAACAGAACAGTCAGCCACTAGCAACTGCTTCTTACTTCTGTGAAATCCTCAAACTGAATTGGCCATCTTGTCTCTAGGAATCCTCAGATTTAATACCATCTCTATGAAACCTCAGACTAAATCCTGAATGCTGTATGAATTCCTACCCCCTTTAAGGTACCTGCCCACTTGGGCATGGCCTCTTATACTATTTATGCCGATGTAAAGCACATGTCTGGCCTCTTTTCTGGCTGCGGGATTAAGTTGCTGTTCCACGTTCCAGCAGAGGATTGTGATCTGTGAGTTTACCTCTAAATCAATAACCCTCTATTATACTCAATTCTGAGCTAGTGTGGGATTTCTTTAAAGCATCCTTCTTCACATAAGTTCTTGTCTACTCTGGCCTTATATTCATCTCTCTGCCCATTCATATCACTTCCTATCTTCACCTCCCTAGTGCTGGGATTAAAGGTGTGAGCCACCACCACTTGGATCTGTTTCTCCTTTAGACTGATTCAATCTTGTGCAGCGCAGGGTGGCCTTGAACTCATTGAAATATTTCTGCATTGTCTCCTGAGTGCTGGGAACAAAGATGTATGCCACTACTGTCTGACCATTATGGCTAACTGCTGTAGCTAGCTTGGTACTCTGATCTTCTGGAAAGGTCTGTTTGTTTAAGCACAAACAAAATACCACCAGATTTCCCTTTTTGTCTAAAAAAATAATGTTATAACTAATAAAGGAAAACTATATACAACAAGTATAATACTTATATATAATATATAAAGGCAATAACAAATTCAGAGAAAGTACTCTAATATCCATTCTATCTTGATGAGTCCTAAGTCTTGTACCTAATTCACTTTTTATATAACTTGAAATAGCAAAATTGTCTTTTTAATATCTCTCAGCTTATGTGCTTTAGAGCTCTTTAGAATTTTTTTTTTCTGAATCTGGTAACAAGAAAAGCTTTAACTATAAAACCTTCAACTTCTTCAGAGACATGAGAAGGAAATGACATTACTTGAATAAAGAAGAAGTGCAAGCAAGCAACTTCCAAAAATATAAGACATGACAGAAACAGCTGGATGTTTAGGTGCTCACCTAAGGTTTCTCTGTTATGTTGGGGCATCTGTATTTGGCCTACAAGCATAGCATATCTGAAAGACTATTCTTCCAGAAAACCAATACAACAATGAGGACCCTAAGAGATACATACAAGGATCTAGTCTACATGGGAAGAAATAAAAGACAAGACCTCCTGAGTAAAGTGGGAGCATGGGGCCCATGGGGGAGAATTGAAGGGGAGGGTAGAGGCAGGAAAGGGACCAGAGAAAAATGTATAGCTAAATAAAATGAATAAAAAATAAAAATAAAAAGGAGACTTTTCTATGAAGCAGGATTTTTGAAGGACTGTTCAACCTTGTTATAAAAAAATTGATAGTCATTCTCTTTTGCATCCTCCTTGTCCAATTTGGACAGCATACCATCAGTAGCTGAGGTAAGAGTACTTTCTTGCACAGTGGTTTACTTTTACCACAAAGAAGACAGTATCCATGTGGAGTTTCTTTGATGCGATTACCTTCTCTGAAGAAGATTTATGATACCAGGAACAGAAATGTTTCATTTTCATAAAAATGAAACTTATGTTTTTAAGACATCTTAAATGTCATATTCTACAGATCTCTGAAGTGTTTGAAGACCATCTAAAGATGTACCTAAAATACATCTGTTTGATCTTGAAACATACCTAACATGACTAAAAATTTTATTGTAATAGGTGACAAAGTACTCACCTGCATTTCTTGATTATCCTAAATTTTTGGTAATAATAACTTTCAAGGACCAAAACTTTGCATTAAATTGTTAAATGAGTTGCATAGGCACAATACCTTGAACAGGATTAGAAATGTATGTATGGTATGTTCTAACAAAAATAATCTTAACTTTGTATCAATATAAAAATTCCATCAGTTTACAATATTTAAAACCAGCAGTTGCTTCTTTGAATTAAGAGTAGGTTCAATAATTTACCTTTTAATCTTAATTCTATATACCCCATATTTTTATTTTAGATTCAATAATCTACCATTATATCCTATTATATCTATATTGCCCATTTTTCTTTTCAAAACAAGAACGCTGAATCTAAACCCCTCTCTCTGTTCAAATTGTTCTATGACCATTGTAACTAACTTCCTTAAACAATATCCATATTTTTATAATAACAAATATCCATAACCCACTAAACAACCAAAAATTATGCACCCTACCTCTTGGGAATGTAGACATCATGTTCTTAAATTTACTTACTTCATTTTGGGGCCAATAACATTTTTAGAGGATTCTGAAAAGAAAAGGTTTTTGTTTATTGTCAAATCCTGGCAGAGGCAGCAGTATCATTAGTTGTCCAATCTCTACATAAAAGAAAGTCTCAAGGACAAGTCTTAGGTCCTGGCTAAAATAGTCTGTGAGGCTTCATCATTTCAGCAAGCAACTTCAAAATGATCCTAAGCAGTTTGTAGTCCAAAGCTGATCTTCAGAAGGTGTTTTTCAGCTTATTGGTGTTGTTATCATCCTAGTAGAATTATTGTTGTGGAATCCAATCACATTTTTGGAAACTTCAGAGATCACATCAGGTCAGACTATTCCTTTTCTTGGTAATTTTTTCTGGGTAGTTTTCCCTTCTTCTTTGAATGCTTATTTGTCCAAAGGTCTTGATGTTTTATATTTAATTGGAAAAAATAAAAGCAAAACCCTTCTCAAACACTAATTTTGGGGATGTTCCCTTTCGGCAAGTTTTATCTGATCAAGGGAAAAGCATTTTTTAGTTGTATATGTTCATTTAGATTGAGTGATCATGCTGCTTAATGAACTATCACCTCTTCTAATAAAGAGTTTTCTCCACACCTTCGAATGCCTAATTAGTGACAAAGAAACAAAAAATATCAAAAGGAAAAAAGAAAGCATATTTAACAAATGGTGCTGGCAAACTGGATATTAACATGTAGAAGAATGAAAATAGACCCATATCTATCACCTTGCATAAAACGCAAGTCCAAATGGATCAAAGACCTCAACATAAAGCCAGCCACACTGAACCTTATAGAAGAGAAAGTAGGAAGTACACTTGAATGCATTGGCACAGGAGACCATTTCTTAAATATAACCCCAGCAGCACAGACACTGAGAGAAACAATTAATAAATGGGACCTCATGAAACTGAAAAAATTCTGTAAAACAAAGGACATGGTCAACAAGACAAAACAACAGCCTACAGAATGGAAAAAGATCTTCACTAACCCCACATCAGACAGAGGTCTGATTTCCAAAATATACAAAGAACTCAAGAAATTGGTCATCAAAAGAACACATAAACCAATAAAAATATCGAGTACAGACCTAAACAGAGAACTCTCAACAGAGGAATCTAAAATGGCTGAAAGACATGTAAGAAAATGTTCAACATCCTTAGTAATCAGAGAAGTGCAAATCAAAATGACATTGAGATTCCATCTTATACCTGTAAGAATGGCCAAGATCAAAAACACTGATGATAACTTATGCTGGAGAAGCTGTGGGGAAAAGGGAACATTTCTGCATTGCTGGTGGGAATGCAAGCTGGTATTTCCCCTTTGGATGTCAGTGTGGTGATTTCTTGGAAAATTAGGAAACAACCTTTCTCAAGACATGTTTAGCTTAGTTTTTGGCCCTAATACTACTGTTATTAAGCGTAGGCTTCATTTTGTGGAAGTAACCTTAGGCCCAAGTAAGTGTTTGATTACTTCCATGTACCACTATAGTACTAGTAGACATGCCTTGCTAGGCTGATGGTTAGTTGCACTTATAAGTTTCACAAAAATTGTCTATAAAACACATATAACATTTATAAATATCATCATATTATGATATCAATATTTATAAATTTTAATTCCTTCCATTCTCATCAAAATAGAATTCAGATACTTTTATATCTTCCATGATCCTTATGTTGGATTAACCTGACTTCTTTTTATTTCTTGGGATTATCAGGATCAGTGTATTTTTATTTGGGAGATGTTAGCCCATTCTCCATGTACCAATTTCTTCTTGGTTTCCTTACCAAATATCATTTACCCTATGGAAATTTCATTGCTATCCTACCCAAGCTGAAAGCACTCATTCTCCACCACAGCTAATTTTACCCCCCATAACACTTGCAGTTATTCTTCTGCACGATGTTCTAAGTTTTACAAGGTTGGTTCTTCTCTAGTGTACTAGAAAGTACTGGAGTAACGATTCAATTTCTTTATTTTTATTTTTTTTTCTCTTTTTTTTAAATATAATTTTTTATTGAAAAAAAAATTTCCGCCTCCTCCCCGCCTCCCATTTCCCTCCCCGTCTCCCTTTCCCC